AGGGAAGACATGTGTGGAAACCCATGTGCAAGTCACGCACATTTAACAAGCGTGGAACTGACCCGGGGGTGGCCTGAGCATAGGGAACAGCTGGTTTAAACGCCCTCCCCACCCCCCCCACCCCCGCCCCCCAGTGCAACGAGTTTCTTTGGTTCAGTGTTTTTGGCTCAGCGAGGACCTGAGAGCCCTGTGCCCAGCACCTCCGGGCAAGGCTGCCCGGGCCGCACAGGCGAGTCCCACGGGGCCGAGCTGCGCAGTTCCCCACCTGCTATCCCCCGGTAAGGGCCCCAGACTTGAGGGCACCGCGCTCGATACCGCGGCCAAGAACGGCTCGTGCCCTGGGCTGGGTCACTGTCCCCGCACTGGATAGCCGAGCGGAAAGTCGGAGGTGGAGGGGGAAGCGAGGGGGCGGCCGCGGCAGGCGGAGGGGAGCTGGGCTTCCACGAGGGGAGGCGGCCTTCCCAGCCCGGCGCGGGCGGCCTGCCCGGGGGCCGCCGGCGGAAACGCGGGCCAGTTCTGCTCTCGCAGACGCAGACGGACGTTCCAGTGAACGGAAAGGCAACTGCGCAAGGACTCTGCCTGCAAATCTATCACCCGCTGCGCTCTCCCTGTCCTTGCTTCACTGAGCACCTGGGCGGTGCTCCACCTGACAGCAGTGAGCAGCGCAAGCAGGAAAGGCGTGGGAAACCGTGCCGAGGGGCACTTCTCAGCTTTCCTTAAAATCTTCACGTAGCAGCAGCAGCTCAGTACCTGCCCGGCTGGCTGTGATTTGTCGGGGCTGCAGGTGCTCATCCGTGGGACTGCCACCTGGCGCCTCCCCGCGCAGGCGCAGGCGGGCCTGAGTCCCCGGGACAGAGGGCGCGCCCCATTGACCGCCACGTCCTGTCCTCCGCCTTCAGGGCGGCGACCGGGCAGTGCCCTCCTTCCCCTTCCATGTCCTCCCCCGCGCCCCTCCCGAGCCTGCTGTCTTCGGAACATTAGACGCGGTAAACCCAGCCTCTGTGTCCTGAAATTCTTCACGGGACACGACTTGCGCATCTTGCCTGAAACAGCACCCGATGTCCCCTCGAAGACACGGGACCCGGATGGGCGGCCCTTTCCAGCGCGGTTGGCCGACTCCCCCGGCCCCACAGAGCTTTGGGCTGAGATTTAATTCCAGCAACTTTTTCCTAGTCGGTGCTCGTTTAGACCATCAGTCCTTCATCCTCACGTAAAAGCCCTGGCTCCGCCAAGCCTCCGCCGCTCTGCGAACTTCAGCAGTGGGTATCCGTGCTCTCCCGCTGGGCCGGATTTTACTTGCTTTTAAAAATAGCACGGAACTCAGTTGACCGCACTCCGTCCTTGTGCCTCTGGCTTCCCACGCTTCCCACACAGCACAAGCGACGCGTTGTCTGACTCCTCTACCGGCTGCATGCGACTCCCGAGCGTCAGACCTTGCTTCCTCTGCTCAGCCCTTCTGTGCCTGTGTCTCTGTGTGGTGGCCACGGAGCTCGCTGCCCAGGTCCCCCTTGGGAGGGACTGGCCGCCCTAGCAGCTGGGCTCACAGACAAGGGGCGGCTTTCAGCGCCGCCTGCTATGGGCCACCCCCTTCCCGGGACACTCCCATCCAGTGACCGACAGATAAAGGCAGGGACCGAAGGCCGTGCACCCCCGGGCGAACGTAGGCCAATGCGGGCAGGTGGCTCCATCTGGAGAGACCCTCTTGGGAGCAGCAGGGCACCGAACCCTGGATGTGAACGTTCGAGCTCTGCCTCGACATTGTCCCTTGGATCGTCGTGGGCCTCCCAGTCTCAGAGCCACCGAGACGCAACTCTTCCTAACCCACTCCCGCAGTCGGCCACTGTCTGAGCTGATCCACCCCGTTTCGGTGAGAAGCTGCGTGGTGAGGGCGTTCCCACGGGGGCTGCGGGGGCTGGAGCAGGGGCGGAGTCTACTGACAAGGAGTCTACTTCCCAAGTGCGCCTTCTGGTCCCCTGACCACCGCCACGCAGCCCTCAACGGAGGAGTGCATTTATGCTGCCGCGGCGCTGCAGTGCAGGGGTGTTTGAGTTTACTCTGATCGTCATGGGACGAGGGAGCTATTCATTACCGTGCTCAGGTTCATGAAATGTAAGCATCATAGTCTTGCCCCTATACAGGCAGATTCCCAGTAGGAAAAAAATAGGGACAGGGACTTAGCATGAAATAATTTCTAACAGGAAATCATTTCTTCTTTCTTTGAATCTTCAGGATAGTTTCCTTTGACTCCCCAGGTGCCTCTCTCTGGCAGACAGGGGCGACTTCCTTCACATTGGGGTCTCTAGGCGGTAATGCAAACGTGATGCTCCCTGAGCAGGTTTGCAGCCTGTGCTTGTTGGTGACGTTAGGGTCTCCTCACCGACTGTTCCCCAGGAATTGTCCTCTCACCCACCAATAACGAAGGTAGCAATTTACGCCCCGTCCTCTGTGCCTCCGCTGCATTTTGGGGACTGCCATGAGGAGGAGCTGGAACTCAATACTTGGCCGCGGGAGCTGCCCCAACCTGCAGCCACAGGAGGGTCCTTTTTCCTCCGAACCTTCCTACCCTAGCAGGTCCTTCGAAGGGTCCCCTGTCCTCTGCCAGCTCAGAGTGGCTGTCTGTCTCATGGCGTCCCCGCTCCAGCCAACCGCAGTGTATACCCAGCCAGCCGTCTCCCTCCTTTGGCCTAGCACCCACGGATGAAAATGTGGTCCTTACGGCTGAGTTATGGGCTCAGATGATTATAATGTTGGGCTTTCAGTGTCCAAGGAAATACAGGTGGACAAAATGCCATTTATTTTAATTTCACTGTTCTCAGCCACTTGCCACCTTGAAGAACTCTAATTAATCTTTCATCAGCACTGTGCTTAAAGGAAAAGTCCTATTGCTTTTATGTAGGTGGTTTGCATTTATAAGTTTTGACAAGCTGCTTGGTGCCAGGCAGCCAACAGTGATGAACAATTTTGGCAGATTAAAATGTAAATTTGATTGAAGAAAACAACCCACCAAAATGTATGCTTCTGTATAATCTGTGATTAAATGTTACTTGTTTCAGAGCTAATGTTTCTGACATGTTCAATTACAGCTTTTGGAAGTTTCATTCCACATCACTTAATCTATTTTAAATAACTCTCCCTTTAGGCTTCATACACAGTGATGTATGTTTTGCATTAATCTCCAATGCAAATTTGGACATAATCTCTCTCCAGTCTGTGACAAGATTTATTTTATATGGAGATAACAGGGTTTAAAAGTGAAAACAGTCCTCTTTCTTATAACTAAGAAAATAGTGTCCTTATAATTGCTATTGCCATTTAAAAAAAAATTGTGGTAAAGAAACACAGCATAAAACTTACTACTTTTGTCTCTTTTAAGTACATAGCTCCTTAGTGCTAGTTATGTGCACACTGTTGGGCTACCGAACTCTAGAACGCTTTCCTCTTACAAATCTGAGTGGTTATTGGACAGCAACTCCCCATGCCTCGCCCCCAGCCCCTGACAGCCGCCAGTCTTCTTTCTGTTTTCGTGAGTTTGACTATTTTAAATACCTCCCGTACGTGGAATTATACAATATGTGTCTTTTTGTGATTGACTTATTTTGCTTAGCATTATAATCTCAAGATTTATGAGACAGGATTTGAGCATAAGACAAATTTTTAGAGGCTGAATGATTAATATTCTACTATTTATATATAAATATATACTTATATGTTTATATAATTTTCTTTATCTATTTCCCTGTCGATGGACTCTTGCCTCCTGTCTATTACGAATAATGCTTCAATAAATAAGGGGGTGCAAATATCTCTTCAAGATTCTGTTTTCAATGCCTTTGGATGTCTACCAAGAAGTGGGATTGCTGGCTTGTTCTACTTGTAATTTTTTTGAGGAACCTCCATATCTTTTCCTGTAGAGGCTGTACCATTTAATATTTCCATCCATTTATTGCCCTTTCTACGACAGATTACATCAATTAAATATTGGCTGATGCTCGTAATTATTAAATAACAAACTACGAATAATAGGATTATTAAACCGTAATGTAACTGAGTGTTCCACAGTTTGCCTTAGTTTGAAACAGAAAATGTAGTCAAGTGCCCTTTGCCACAGCCTAGATTTTATTTTGTTTTGTATGAGTTCATGGATTTGGGTGTCACCGCTCTCCCACAAACTGATCTGAGATGTCCCTAGCATCCGAACAAAATGATAAGCTAAGGAAAACAAAGGAAAGTGCCTTTTCCAAGTGGTTCCCCCAGGTCAGGAAATTAGACGTGAGCTTCTCGGCTTGCGGTTGACCGAAGATTCCCTACGAAGCGACCCCGGCCACCTTCGGGCCACCATGGCGACGTCCTACCCAGGGCGTAGCATCGTGTCCTGGCAGAGTGCTCCTCACTTGTCCCCTTTTCGAACCAGCGTTTTGAGTCCCTCTGCAGTCTTTCCGGCTTCACCTGGTGGAGAAAACTGCCCCAAACCTCTTGAAGTTTACGGTTGGGCGGGTGGATGGGTGGGGGTGTGTGTCTGTGTGTTCAGCAGGGGAACCATACCATAGGTTTCCAGATTTCACGTATATAAAAGCGCTTTACCCCAATTGCTCTGTAGATTTAATGCAATTACTGCTAAAATCCAGCACGGTTTTTGCCTCGGCAGGATGCCTGTCAAGCGAGAAAACCCCCCAAACCTGATCTATTCTAGGGTCAAGGTTAGAGGAGCCGGACGGAGTGAGCGTTTTGAAAGTTTCAGCGTTTTGATTAAACGGACAAAGGAAATTAATCAAGGAGAGTGGCTTCTCTGAGATTCGCGGAGCTCGGGCGCCTAGAGTGTCGGAGCCAAATTTCAAATTCGGTTACCAGTTTCTGGGCTATCACACCCCGTGAGAACAAAGGGAAAGGGATTAAATGAAACAATGGCTAGACACGACCACGTGGCCCTGGCGCCGCGCGGTAAATTCTGTCTGCACTAGGCTTCCGTAGTCGCGTACGCGCTCGCGGCCGGCGGTGACGTCACGAGGCTGGCGTCTCGCGGGAAAAGGGGTCTCGACGTCCGGGCGCAGGGCGGGCGCGCGCGGGACTTTCAAGCGTCGGAGCAGGAACGCCAGCTGCCATGAGCCTCTGGGCGGACAAATACCGGCCCTGCTCGCTGTCCCGGCTGGACTATCACAAGGAGCAGGCGGCCCAGCTGCGCAACCTGGTGAGCGGGCGCGGCGGGGCTGGCGGGGCTCGGGCACGGAGAGGCTCAGGGCCCGGGGCCCAGGGCCGATCCAGCCCGGGAGCCCCGCGCCCTGGTGGAAGGGGGCGGGGTGAGGCTGCGTTCTCCGCTGCCGCTCGAGGCGCCGCTAGTCTGGGACCCGCCCGAGGCCGGTGGAACCCCGCGGGTTGAGGCAGGGTGCGGAGCCCCTTCCTCGGGCCCAGCGGGAGGAGAGGCCCTCGGAGGCTCTGAGCGGAGAAGGGGCGTCGCTCTCCTGGCGCTTTCACCGCTGACTTCAAGTTCCCTGGTGTCGCCGTCCTTCCTTACAAGTAGGAAGGTAGTGCCTCGATTCGTTTCTGAGGTCACTCCTGATTCTGCAGTGAGAGGTGGTATCAGGTGGTTCTGGAATGTAACCCCTTAGGAAGATCCCCGCCCCCATCCTGATGCTTGTTTTTACGTTGTAGTTTATAAAAGGGGATGATGGCCCTGTGCTGGGATAAGCAATCGGGGTTTTGCGGGGAGTGGACAGGGAACCAAGGGTCTTAGGAAAACTCTAGTGTCTGTGGAAGCCACTTACCCGCCCCCTTTATGGACCTGAAAGGACCGTGTGCTGGTAAACGTGTTTTTGCTCAGCAATTACAGGTATTGTCTAAATACTTTGTAAAAACGAGAAGGAACGGTAAAAAAGGAACTCCATCCTTTTATATGAAAGTCGTTAGAAAAGTTGATAGCGTTGTGGGACAGGTTTTTTCTCCTCTTTAATGACTTTGCCTGTGCTGTAGTTTAAAATAACATCCATGATACCCGTCGTCTTCATTTACCGGCAAATTGCATTTTCCCACAATGGCTTTCACTTGAATTTTCTTAGACAAAGGATACATTGTGTTTTATTTTCTATGACTTTTTTTTTTTTAAGTAGAGAATTTGGAATAAATGTTTTGGACAAAAATTTAATATATTCATCTTACGTGTTAACAGGTATGCTTTTAAAAAATATGTACCCGTTTCATGGTGAATCTGCAATTTAACAAAACTATGAAACATGTAAAGCATAGCCTTTGTTTTTGGTTAGACGGAAGTTTAAAATACAAAGGCAGGCAGTATTTGAGGAGCATGTACTGTTTTCCATGCCTTGTATTAGGTGAATAGTTTTTTCCTGGAGACAATTGAAATCTGAGGTAATAAGCATTTCTGTTTAGATGTTTTTTTTCCCTGTAATGGTTATTTACAACTTTCGCTCCCCAAGATTTCATACACCTGAGGCCCAGACGTGCTCTCTGCCTTTGTGCTGTGGATTCCTAAACCAACCTGATCATCAGAGCCACCTGGGGAGCTCGGTCGAGCCCGGGCTTCTCCTTTGCCATCCCTGTGTCCCGTGCTCCCGGCCCGTGTGCACGCAGACTGACTCTGCCTCCCGGGTTTGCACTTTGTCTTGAAGACACCCCTAAGCATGGGAAATGCCTGCTGATTCGTATCCTCCCTTCCCTCCTCAGGCTTCAGCAAGGATTGAGGAGAATCAGCCCAGGAGACTCCAGCTTTGGCGCCCATGGTTGGGGTGGGGGGCGCGGGGCGTGGGGTGTGGGGTCAGTGCTGTGGTGTGTCTGGCACCAGAGTCCAGCCTCCCAGCAGCGTCAAGCCCCAGTGCCCAGAATGGGATTTACGGTGATGATATGCTCTGCCTTTTGCTTCCCAGCAGGATTTTTCTTTACCTCCCCAGTGAACCAAATGCACTCACTTCTTACCAAAGGGACTGTCTGTGGAAGCCCAAACTAAGGCAGGCATTGATCTCAGTTACTGAGTCGTAACGGGATGGACCGGGTCCAGTAATCAGTCTTTCGTTTTGAAAAGCTCTCCGGGAGGTTCCGGCATCCAGCGGGTGTGGGGGTTCTTTCTTTCCAGTGCATGGTGTCATAGCAGGCGTGTCCTGTGCTAGGTGTGCAATTATGTGATGTTAGTGCCAGGAGATAATCAACGTTCCATAAGTGATTTTTAAAAACCACTGTGCACACATACATACACATATATTTGAAGTTTCTAAGGTAGAGACGCAAAATATCAGCACTTAAGACGTTTAATTCTACCTAGAACCTCGTTGTGTAATTAAGGAAAATGCCTTGTGTTTTTTTTCCCTCCCAGGTGCAATGTGGGGACTTTCCTCATCTGTTAGTGTACGGACCGTCAGGTGCTGGTAAAAAGACGAGAATTATGTGTATTCTACGTGAACTTTATGGCATCGGAGTGGAAAAATTGAGAATTGAACATCAGACCATCACAGTAAGCATTTCACTCTGAGGCCCTCTAAATACTGGGTTGGCCAAGAAGTTCGTTTGTTTTTAAGTAAAAATACAACAAAAAGTTTTTCCCCCCAATAACTTTATTGAACAGCACATTCACCTTTTTGTTCCACTACCTTCTGCCATCTTTCAGGCAACTTCATAATTCCATCTTCCCAAAACTTTTTTTTTAGCAAGAAACTGTTCCAGGTGCCTTTTGCAGTCTTCCAGGAATTGAATTATTTTTTCATTGAGAGTTTTATAAAGACCAAAATAAATGAAAATCCAAGGTGCAGTGACTGGTGAATATGGTGGATGAATCAGAACTTCCCAGCCAGGTGTGTTGGGTTTTGCCTGGTCATCAAAGAAACACGTGGTCTTGTGTTATCCTGATAGAAGATTATGCGTTTTCTTTTGACTAATTATGGACACTTTTTCATCGAGTGCTGCTTTCAGTTGGTCTAATTGGGAGCATACTTGTTGGAACTAATCGTTCAGTTTTCCGGAAGGAGCTCATCATAGAGGACTCCCTCCCAACCCCTCCATATACACAATATCCCCTTCTTTGGATGAAGACCAGCCTTTGGTGTGGTTGGTGGTGGTTCATTTCACTTGCCCCCACGATCTCTCCATTCCACATTGTAAAGTGTCCACTTTTCATTGCCTGTTGTAATTTGTTTTAAAAACGAAATGTTTTCATTACTTATAAGTAGAGAATTGCATGCAGAAATATGGTCAAGAAGGGTTTTTCCATCTAACTTAGGTGGAACCCAAACATGAGAGTGATTAACAACCAGGCTGGTGCAGATGATTTTCAACACTTGATTTGGATATTTGGAGTATATCAGCGGCTGTCTCCCATGTGGTAGAATGTTGATTGTTCTCACTTAATATCTTGATTTGATCACTATCAATTTCAGCTGGTTTGCCTGACTGGAGCATCATCGTCCAGTGGGAAATCTCTAGCACGAAACTTTACTGTGACAGGTTGGATCAGTCACAGCACCTTCTCTACACACTGCACAGCTCTTTGTGTGTTTCAGTTGTGTTTTTACTTTTCTTGAAATAATAAAACATAATATGCTGAAAATGTTACTTTTTCCCTCTTCAATATTAAAATGGCTACAGAAAAGTATTAAAATGACAGCGGTCACGATACAATCTAACAAAATTATTTCAAATGAAGCTGAAGACAACTAAGTGCTATTAGAGCCATTATAGGGAAAAACACCAAGCAAACTCCTTGGCCAACTCAGTATTTCTTATGATATATACATATTGTATATTTATCAGTTTGCAAGAATGGAGGCTTGGTATAAAGCCTACTGCAGATGGGGAATGTTGGGGCGGAGCATTCATTGCTGGGGAGCAGTGAACTGTTAACTGTTTTTTGGATAGGGAGGCTGGTTACACATAAGTTTAGAAAATGTATTCCCTTCAATTCAGCAGATTCTTCATTGGGAATCTGTTGCATAGAAATGAAAGTAGCGCATGAGATGTGTTTAAAGGCAAGTGTGTTAATTGTGGGATTGTTTGAGATACAAAAGGCAAGAAGCAAGACGCCCGTCAGAATGACTGTAGGGTAAGCGGAGGCAGGCTGGCCCCTCGCCCAGGGGTCTGGGGAGCTAAGGTGAGGCACGTTCTCGTGGCCTTGACGCTGGGCCCCGTAAGTGCTCCCATAGCCGTGGCTGGGCCCGTGTGTGCCGAATCTCAGCCCGTTCTGACTCCCTGCCGGCTTTGTCTCCAGGACTTGGGGTGGGGGCTCCACGCTGGGACACAGGTAAGAGAGGGGACCGGTGACATGCAGTGTGGCACGTGGGGACCGCCTGCCCTTGAACAAAGGATGTCCGGCATCCCCACGGCTCTGTGAGTGTTCTTCCGTCTGCCTGAGTCTCTAGTGAACCTGTCCGGCCTTGGCAGCGGCAGCACAGGCCGGTTTGGAGACATGTTAGAGGTTAAAATGTACCTGTCACGTCCTATACCAGTTGCCTGAGAGGAGGTGCCTCGATGTTGAGTGGAAAAAGCAAAACAAGTATGTTTGTCTCGTATTTTTCACAAAAGCGTTGGCATTATATAGAAACACATGGAAGTGTGTATGCGTGTTTGTGTGTGTTGTGGAGAAGGCTGTAAAAAAAAACAGGCTGTGTGCAGAGGTGATGCGCTGACAGCGAAGTGGTTTGGAGATTCTGGAGGCAGAGGGAAAATGTCTCTAAAATAGGAATGCGTATGGCACAGTTTGTATAAAAACACGCCTGTCTGCACAGTGATAAAAGAATGGGTTAATGAAGTTAAAACGGTGGTGCTCCTCTCAAGTTTTATTTTAGTAACATAAATTGTTGAATAAACAGCCAGTGAAATACGGAAAAGAGGAGAAGTAGCTAATAATTGAATGTTACAAACATCTATTTCCTTTGTCCATAGACTCCATCTAAAAAGAAAATTGAAATTAGCACCATTGCAAGCAATTACCACCTCGAAGTGAACCCCAGGTAAGCTGCTACTGTCTGGCAATGAGCGTTTTCAGAATAGTGGTTTTCAGATTGTTTTTTAAAGAGCAGGACTCTTTCTTGAAGAAAAATTGTGTATGAAAACCCAGTACATAAAACAGATAAAAGCAACACTGCCCTGTGTGAAACAGCCAGAACCTTCCACGGTACCTTCTCTGAGACTCCTCATTCTGGTAGTTTTGATAATTGAGTTTTCTTGCTCTGTAGAGCTCGGTGTTTTACACCAAGTAGATTACATAGGTTTGAAAAAATGACACCGACTCATTCAGAACCGGTGGGCAGAGTGCGCCGAAGGCGTTTGCAGCGTCTGGAGTAAGCGTTTCACAAAGCGAACTTGGGCTGCGGCACCGTGGCCGGGCCTTCGCTTCGGGTCCCTGGCGAGCGGGTGTTACTGCGGCCGCCTGCGGAGGCTCGCGTTCCGGTCCGAGGCCGGGAGACGCGAGGAGGCTCGTGCTGCGGCGGGAAGTAATCGGCGTGGCAGTGATCGCCGCGGGCCACCGGCGCCCGGGGCGTGCGGGGCTGCTGGGGAGCGGGCCAGGGTGCCGGCCAGGGTGCCGTCGGGCTGGCGGGCTGGCGGCTCTCCCTGTCGGGTTGAGGCTCAGCACTTGCGCTGGGGTGCGGGGCGGGACCTGGGTGAGTGACAGGCAGTGCCTGCGGTGAGGCGGCAGCCTCCCGCCCTCTGGCTCCCCCTTACACGCAACTGCCAGGCCCAGGGAGTGGGCGCGCTGTCCGACTCGGTGGCCCGCAGGCCTCTGCTGTTCTGGGGATGGGGAAGGAGGACGGGTGTTACATGTGTGTCAGAGACTTATTTTTCTGTTTTGAGTAATTATAGATAATTACGTTAGCTGTAACTAACTATAGCGTGGACAGGAGTACTAAAGTACTCGACAAGCTCTTAATTGTTCTTTTTAAGTAACAGTAAACTTAAAATAACGTTTAATATTCTCAGTTATGTTAAACTGTAATTGAGTATTAGAATGTTAGTATTTTTAATAACCTAAAATACCTCAGTTTTAAAGTTTTGTGAATGTAACTAGCTGTTACTAATCTTAAAATTGTAACTACTTAAGATCTTATTCTTAATGTTAATGTTGATAGTGATGCTGGGAACAGCGACCGGGTGGTCATTCAGGAGATGCTGAAAACGGTGGCACAGTCCCAGCAGCTTGAGACAAACGCTCAGCGGGACTTCAAAGGTGGGTGATGGACTGATGTCGCTTTATCGGGCAGACACTCCTCGTGAGGCGTGCGTGCGGGAGGAAGTGTGGTGGGAAGTGGTCTGCTTCATCCGTTTAGCAGATGTGCGTTGACCTTCTGTTCTAAGCCAAGCTTCAGGCTCCTTTTTGGGGTGGGGAATGTGTCAGCGCCGAGCGCTGAAACATTTTCTGTTGTTAAAACACGAGGAGTACCGGGTTTGGGGTCGTCTGAAGCCAACGGGTACTGGGGCGCCACTTCATTGGGTGTAATGGAAACTACAGCAATTGGATTCAGCCGGCACCTGCGCCTCGTTCCTGAAAAACTTTAAGACCAGTTCTTGATGATGGCCACGTAGAAGCTCGCTGTGCAAGTGACCAGAGACCGTTCTGCCTTGTGAGCTGCGTCTCTGTGCTGGTTGTTCTCCAAAGCGTATCCCTTGGAAGGCTGAGACTCGGGGTGTCCCCAGCCATGTCCTGCTGATGGGAAGTGTTGCGGGAAAGTGCAGACCTGTATGTCCTTGTTTTGCCTCTTTATTTTTTTAGTGCATAAAAATAATACAGAGGCTACGATGAATTCTATAGCGAGGTAACCTGTTTAACTGCATTTAGTCTAGATTTGCTTACGCTTATTACAGAATTTTTAAAAATAAATTATTTTCCCTGTACCTATAACTTTTGTATGTCTTTGCCAAAGGGAAGGGTAATTATTTAGGATTTTATGCTCAATAATGAGGAAGGAGGAGGTAGATACTCAGGTTAAAATTTGTTTGGTTTCTCTTTGTCTCAGTGGTTTTATTGACAGAGGTTGATAAACTCACCAAGGACGCTCAGCATGCCTTGCGTAGAACCATGGAAAAGTACATGTCCACCTGCAGGCTGATCTTGTGTTGCAATTCTACGTCCAAAGTGATACCGCCCATCCGCAGCAGGTGTCTGGCAGTTCGTGTGCCTGCCCCCAGCATTGAAGATGTAAGTTGAGTCACACGTTTGTTTCTGTAAAAACATGGTGAGGTGTTTCAGTAATTTGAGGACATCTGTGTCCTGGATGCTAATCATTAGTAGATGCACAAACCAATATATACGAGGTCTGTCCAAAAAGTATCCAGCCACGTGCTGTGAAAGGAGAGAGGCATTTATTGAAGAAGATATGAGACATAGGGCATGACGCCTCAGTCCCCTTCAAAGTAGAGACCCTGGGACCTCACACAGTTCTCCCAGTTGCCATCAGCTGCCCTATCGTATTTTCCTGAATCTCATCAATAATTTGAAATCTGTTCCCTTTCAAAGGCGGTTTTAGTTTTGGGAAAAGCCAGGAGTTGCAGGACACCAAATCTGGGTTTTAGGGGGGCTGAGTCACCTGGATGAATTCATGTTTTGCAAAAAAAAAAAAAAAAAAATTCTGGCTGACACATGATGCATGAGTGGGCACATTGTTATGACGAAGCTGCCAATCACCAGTTGCCCATAGCTACTGCCTTCGGAATCATCCGAATAATTTCTGTTTGAGCTTAACGCAAAATTTGATGCAGATTCGTTCTTCTACTCACTCAGTCATTTTGAATACAGTGGCCGTATAGTGCACAGGCTCACTCAACGCCATCTACCGCCCCCACTGACTGGTACCGTGAAGTTGTCATTGTTCACACACGTGCATTCCAGCCCACTCTCCTTGGCCACCAGGTCACACTCATGTCATGCAACCTGTTCTCATTACATTAACAATGGCTGGACTTTTCCCAGACAGACCTTGTATAGACCAGATGTAAATACCAGATGCCACTGTATAGTGTTCTTTGCATTAAATTATCTTTTACCTTAAACAAGTAGATACTGTGAATTTTACTAAACTAGGTAAAGGTTTGTTACCAGTATCTTCTAACGCAACCTGATGTGTTTGACTTGGGAAGAGGCTTGAATATGGAAGACACGGGCTTTGCCCGGGATGATGGGGGGGGCGTCCTGCTGGGGCCGGGGGCCGGGGCAGCGTGACGGTGCCCAGGTGCGGCGGTGGGTGTGGGGAGAGGCACGCAGGGTCTGGGGGCCGCGGTGGCTTTCCCGGCTGAGAAGATGGTCGCTCACCACTGCGGACCCGCCTCCGCCCACCCGGTCTGCGCATCGGTCATTCTTAGCAGCTGCCAGTGAAAATGCTGGTTCTCACCATGAGCCACTTCCCTGCTCTTAGTAAGTTGAGGCTAGTCTTATGCGACATTGTGTTAGCTGCGAAGTGGTAAAACACCTTTACTTCTGGTTGTAAACGTTATAGGAACGATGCAGCTGAAAGGGCCTGGGAAGCCGCAGCGTCACGGGCCCCCAGCCCTGCGGCCCCGTTCCCATCGTAGGCCACGCAGAGCGCGCCTTAGGGCGTGCGGAACTCTCCTGAGCGGCCCTGACCTGCCACTGATCTGACCGGGGCCCGATCTGCCTCCCGCTGCAGGGCCAGCCGCTGCCTCTCCGGACGGCTGGGCGAGGTCCGGCTCCTGCCGAGGGAGCAGCGGCCTGGCAGGGAAAGGGGGCGACCGGGGACGGGGGGGCCTCTAAAGTCGGTGTCAGCAGACATCATTTGAATCTGCTCTTTGACAGACGGCTCGCTTTTGTTGGTTACTTTATTCCAGATCTGCGATGTGCTATCCACTGTGTGCAAGAAGGAGGGCCTGAGCCTCCCGTCGCAGCTGGCCCGCCGACTGGCAGAGAAGTCCTGCAGAAACCTCAGGAAGGCGCTGCTCATGTGCGAGGCCTGCCGCGTGCAGCAGTGAGTGCGGGAGCGTCGCCGGGCCGCGCCCGTCGGGGCGGCGGCGTCCTCTCCCTGACGGTGTCTTCCCTCCGTCACGTAGATACCCCTTCACTGCGGACCAGGACATCCCTGAGACGGACTGGGAGGTGTACCTGAGGGAGACGGCCAACGCCATTGTCAGCCAGCAGACCCCCCAAAGGTAGATGGGGGGGGGGGGGCCTGCGAGTTTGGGCACATCGGGGCGCAGCCGTTCCGAGTGCGGGCTAAGGGCTGCCCACAGGCACCGTGCGATTTAGAATTGTAATTAAATTTTCAGTCTAAATACTCAGCTTTTAAAGAAAGGGTGGGATATAATTTTAGAAATTTAATGGTTTCTAAATAGTTGATGTGTGGCATCGTAGCCTTTATTAAGCTGTTGACATGTAAATATGGAAGTTACTCATAAATTACAATTCTTGGGAGTTTTTAGTTTTCCTTTTAGGATTTCAGATGACATAGAATTAGAACATAACACAATGTGTCCAGTTTGTCAGTATTGAAAAGAACAACGTATAACTTGATAGTTGGTACCTCATACACGAGAAGGCTCCGGACTGCGAGTCAGACCTCTGGGTCTCCTGTTGATTTCCAGGCACGAGTACAGGGGCTGGTCAGAACAGTTTCGGGTCTGAGCCGTGGTGTCAGGAGGTGTTTTGTGACACGTGCCACCCAGTTGTGCCCTCTTACTCCTGCGGGCCCGGTACTCGCAGTGGCCACTCAGAAAATACTCCAGCACGGGTAGTTTGATTGATGGCCGCTTTGACAGAGAGGGGCAGTCCGCTCTCCTCCAGATCAAGACGGGGGCGGGGCTGTATGTAGGGGGATAAATGGTTATGGAAAAAAATACAATGAAAATAAATTTAGAAACAGGAGTGACGGCCTGAAAGCCGGCTCCCGTGGCAGGCCGGGCGACAGCTCCTCAGGCTCGCGGGCCCGGGGCCGCGGCCGCTTCCGTACTGCCCGGCAGGACTCCGGGCCGGCCCTGGATCGCTTCAGGGAACCGAGGCGCGGGCTGAGCGCGACCCCGCAACCAGGCTTCCCTGGCTCATGTGAATGTCGTCGTGGGAACAGTGTGGCCTGTGCCGCCTCTGGCGTGATCGGTGCATCTGGGGAATCCTAATGTTTATGACAGTTTCAAAGGGAGAGTAGCAGGTGCTCCTGGCCATCGCAGGTGGGGCGATGCAGGTGTGTAGTCACGTGTGAGGGGTACTTAGTATTTCACCAGCGTTTGCTTTGAGTTCCTTTACTTCAGTTATTTTACTTCAATGAATTAATAGCTTTCAACGTGTTCAACATCGTCTCTTCAGAAAAGAAATTGTGACTGTAGGAAAAAGTGCCTTCCATTTTGTGAATAGTGAAGAAATCTCAGCCTTTGAAGACATAAAATTCAAAGCACGTTTACAAGCCTTCTGTAAAGTATATCCACACTGGAGATGACTTCGTTTTGTTCTGACTTTAAGGAAGAAAAACTGACGATAGTAGTAGGACTTTTCTGCTTTTAAGAGACTGAGGTACAGACGTTGCAGATTTGATAATTAGATGCATTTATGAGACTTCAGTCGATTATTTCTTTGCTTAGTTGCGGCTGCTGCTCCCTTCCTCCAGTTTCCACGCAGGTGTTGGCAGCTTGTGAGTGAGCTTGTCTGAGCAGAGGCGCTGCCGGCCGGCCCCTCGGCGGACCAACAGCTGCAGGGGCGGCGGCTTCCCTTCCTGCCCCCAGGGGAGTCTTCTCCCGCCCGGAAAGGCAGGTCAGCAGCACGCAAGGCCAGCGCCGGTGGGCGCTTCTGATTTTCGGCCTCTTGTTCTTGCTGTCACATTCATAGTCTTCTTGATTCTTGTTTGATCTGTCTTAGAATAGTTGTGATTTTCTGACTTGAATAGCTGCAGATTTTTAGTGGATGATACTGTTTCCCCTCCTACAGAAGTTTGCATTCTTTGCCACCTGCAGCCCCCTTCCCCAAGAAATAATGATGTATGTGTAGCACAGGTAGAATATATTCATTTCTTAGAAGCTGAGCCGCAGTAGAAAGGAGCTCAGGTTAAGAGGAGATGCGGAGAAGGTGTCTGACGCAGTCGCAGCTCTGCGCACGGTGCACGCACACGGAGCTGCTTTCAGGGAAAGGCCGCTGTGTGCGTCACGGTCGAAGCGACCTCAGACCGCTCGTCCTGTGTGTCTCTTCCGTGTGTGTCAATAGTCAGGGTTTGTTTTTGAGATACACTGTCATGTCCCAGTACAGTCGAGTCTGAATTAAAACGCTGCCTCGGCTGCGTCTCTGAACGTGAAGTCGTCGCCAGTGGAGGAGCGGGGCTGTGGGAATGGCAGCCTGCAGGGCCCTCCGTCCCGTGCGGGGCTGGGGAAGAGCCTGGGTCCCGCGTCAGTGGGGCCCGTGCCTCCCTCGTGGCCCCGCTGTGGCCGGCTCTGTCGGCCGACTTACACTGCACGGGTCTTCCTCTTGTCGTCTAAGGAGTGGAGGAAACGGCCACTCACAGCTGGTGTGAGGGCGGAGTTTTAAACAGCCGCTCACTAGCTACAGTGTCGTGCACATAGTGGGTGCTCAGAAGAAAAAAATGCTGGGTTTAAAAGAAAGAACCCTTTCACTAACCTCTGTTGTAGCACAACTTCTTACTCCGGGAGTCCCAGGAAGGGGTTTGAACTCCTGCTTCTAAGAACTCTTTCATAAATCACTTTTGATTAATCTGAAATAAAAGAATATCTGTGATATTAGTGAAGATTCTGAACAGTTAAAGTAAGTATATATAGAGATAAAGATACTTGTTTTATGTGTGTTTAGACTTAATTTTCACTGTTTTTCTTAGTGCTTTAAAATGCTTTATATATTTCTTTACTCTTTTCCCTCCCAAATATGTTACGAGAGGCGTCCGGAGTGGAGGGCTCAGAGGCGGAACATCCACGTTCGCGTGTGCAGCTGGTTCCGCGCTCACCTGCACCCTCCCGTGCGGCCTGCTTTGTGACAGGACAGCTTTGTGTCCTGGCCGCATTTCTGTTTTATGCTGCGCTCTAGGCAGCAGCGTCGTAACACGTGTCTTCCTTCTATCCCTTTGTCACTTGTGCGGTTCCCCAGAGAGGGGTTCTTCGATCTCTTGTTCTGGATGTAACTGGGAACCCTGAATAAGAGGGGTGTCTACCTTTAAAAGAGTTCTGAAAATGCTGTTTTCAAAAAAATGAACCAAAACAAAAAGATTCTATGTGTGTATGCTAAGTATGATAAGCCATTTAAGAAAATGCGTTGGATTGTTTGTTTCATTTATTGGGGTGGCCAAAAAGTTCATTTGGTTTTTTCTGTACGATGGCTCTAGTAGTGCTTAGTTGTCTTTAACTTTATTCAAAACAATTTTGTTAGATTGTATTGTGACAGCTGTCATATCGGCTTACATTTAAGAAAAATATCTTACCAAAATTGGTGAATTTTTGTGTAGCCATTTTAATACTGAAGATGGAAGAAAATAAGCAATCATTTTTGGCATATTATGCTTTATTATTTCAAGAAACGTAAAAACTCAACTGAAACGAAAAAAAGATTTGTGCGGTGTGTGGAGCAGGTGCTGTGACTGATCAAATGTGTCAAAGTGGTTTGTGAAGTTTCGTGCTGGAGATTTCTCACTAGATGATGCTCCACGGCCGGGTAGACAAGTTGAAGTTGATAAGGATCCACCTGAGACCAGCTGAGAACAATTAGCGTTCCACCACGTGGGAGAGAGCCGCCATACTCAGGATATCCAGATCAAGACAATTATTAGTGAAAATTTAAAATGTGTTTTAATTTACAGAAAACACTAAACGGACTTTTTGGCCAACCCAGTACAAAGTAAAACAGGAGAGTAGGTACTTGGAAAAATTACCTGTTATTTTTATCAAAAAATATTACTCCTTGTGTTTTACGTAGGCTCCTTGAGGTTCGTGGAAGACTCTATGAGCTTTTAACTCATTGCATCCCTCCCGAAGTCATAATGAAGGTAACTGGGTTTCTCATCTTGAACCTTCTATAAGCATGCAATCTGGACTTTGGCTGGGCGGTCCCGGGGCTTTCCGAGTCCTAAGGTAACACCGCCCCCTCTTACCCAGTTCAGTAATTCAGCGGGTGTTTGTCGAGCCTCTCCGGGCGCCTGAGCACCAGGAGGGGGTGCTGAAGAAGACAGGAGGGGCCGTCCCTTCCGAGCGGTTGGCATTATTCTGGGAGGGACGGGAAACAGGGAAGGAAGCAAAGGGTTCCAGCGTGTTGTAAGGGCTCTGGAGGAAGTGCTGGGGGAAGTGACACCGGGGAGCGGGGTGACCGGAGGTCCGCGGTCGCTTCCCTGGGGAGGGCGGCGTTTCAGCGCCATGTGGAGGGTGAAGGGGGGGAGCCGCGGGCCTGGCTGCTGGGGTTATGTTACATATATAATATTTATATATATATATATATGTAAAAAACCCCTGTTGGTAGTAGTTTATGTTGTCTGTGGATTATTATTATTAATAATAATGTCACTGTAAGCACTCTTGGATTTATGTCTTTGCACCCTCGTACATTTAAGTATTTGGAATTTGGGACATGCTAGCTAATTACCACATGTTACCACATAGAAAAGGCACACAGTCCTTCACGTTGGATGAAGTCCATATAAAAGAATTAAGGATTTCACAAAGGAAAAAAAAACTTATTTAAGATGAATTCGGTTTTGAAGGAGAGAAATCAGAGGTTACTTCTGTGACGGATCGCTGTCCTTCCCAGGGCCTCCTCTCCGAGCTCCTGCACAACTGCGACGGGCAGCTGAAGGGGGAGGTGGCCCAGATGGCCGCCTACTACGAGCACCGCCTGCAGCTGGGGAGCAAAGCCATTTACCACTTGGAGGCGTTCGTGGCCAGGTTCATGGCGCTCTATAAGAAGTTCATGGAGGACGGCTTGGAGGCCATGGTGTTCTGACAGCCGCCGGAGCGTCCTCCCCCCGCGTCTCTTGTCGGCGCTTGCGGTCGGCCCGCGCTGGGACGGCTACAGTAGGGGAAATAAACGCACTGGGCTCGCTCCTGCCCCGTTTGGGCTTTTGTACTGATTCCTGTGCGCGCTGTTACCCATCATTTTCTCAGTTAAATAATTACTCTGTGCTGTTAGTTTAGTCTGTTGCAAGGACACGGCGAGGCACTCCTGAGCCCCCGGGTGCGGGTCCCCTGTCCCCTGTTTCCCCTTCACCTGCTGACGGACGTTGACACGTGACAAAGCAGAGGTTATTTCCTGTCCTCCAGGTGACTGTTTTTGGCCACAGGTATGCTTCAGTCCTGTTGTCCCTCAACCAACACTTATATTTTTGCAGGAAATAGAGGAATTAATTTGGAAACACAATTAACATGCGTATGTAAAAATTGCAGCTACCATTTCTGTTGAGACTGCAAAACTCAACGTTTATGTCAGCCGCTCAGATTCGGTGTTAGGAGGGTCCCTGAGAGACAAGCATGCTTTTCTTGTTTGAGACTTGAAGCATGGGGAGCACGTCCTTCTGAAGCAAAGGCGTGTCATCGTAGTCACTTTTTCAGCAAGTACTGTCGTGTCATTCCTCTTGTCCTTTGGAGCAGTTTTTATTCAGAACTTTGGTTCATGGAACAGAGTTGGCTGGGCAAGTTCGTGTGACAGGCTCGGAATAGTTTTTTTAGTTTTGGGCAGCTACACCACGAAGATGAACTCAAAGAATGTTTTAAGTGTAAACAAGTTAAATTACCTGTATAAGGATGTTGCGGAAACCTCTTGGAGCGGTTTGTGATAAACAGGAATTGTTTAATTGACAGACACAACTACACACACAAAAAACTCTTAACACAGTTTTGGCCTTACGGGGACCTGTTTAGGTCAGGAGAAATGACAGCTGCTTTTGGGGAGTGGGGGTACTAGTCAGGCCCCAATTAGCTGTCTCAGTCCTGAGAGCCCCCCACATTAGGAGGGATATTGGTATTTTAAGAGAAGAACTGGGAAAGTGAAGTGTGGACGAGGTAGGACTGTTTCAATTTCGAGAAGAGAAAAGTAAAGAATAATGCTGGAATTACCTTTTAACGTTTAAAGTGATGAAGCACGTGCAGTCTCACACTTGTGTTTCTTTGGAGCAGCGCGTTTCAGAGGGGACCCCGTGGATCAGTGCCAGCATCCCCCGGGGGCTCAGGCCTCCCCCCAGTGCTGCTGAGTCAGAATCGGGGGCTGAGCCTCAGCGGTCTCTGCGGGCCCCCCCCCGCGTGACTGTGAGGCACACCTGAGTTCGAGAACCCCTGCTAGAGAAGGTGGGCTCAGAGCCGATGGGCCTGGGGTAGAGGGGGACCCGCTGGCCTGCGTGAACAAGAGCCGCCTGCCCAGAGGCAGCCTGAGCGCTCCTCCTAGACAGACGTGTCCGGGTGGGGGCTGAGGGCGGGTGGGGTGCTGGGCGCTGCGCTGGCTCCTTGTATGCACTGCTGCATTAATGGCTTTACAAACCTGCGCGCTAGGTGCCATCTCTGTTCCGTACAAGTGGAGACTGACTGGGACTGCTGTGCCTTCCGAGGTCCTGGAGCTGCAGACGCAGGGAGGGAGGGAGGCCGCCGCAGCCGCTGGAGGGGCTCCGCTCTGCCTGCGTGAGAAGTGGGGATGGTCTGGGTTTGTCCTTGAACTCCGCTCTTTGAACGTTAACACACAGGACAAAAGGACTTTAGTTCCACTGGATTTTAATGTCTGTAACCTCAGCTTTTACGGGAATTTAATCTTTGGATTTTAATTTCTTTCCTGGAGCATCTTTTATTATGGAAGTATCTCAACCTCAGCAGAACGCCGGGCATGCTACCAGGAGAGAGAAGAGGGGACACTTCTTCCGCACTCGGCATGGCGTGGAGTCCTAGTTGCTGCGTTGAATGTGGTGTTCTGACCCCCATCCTTCTGGAGCCGCTGTGTAGGCCGCCTGCCAGCGGACCCGGGAGGAGACGGAAGAGCAGAGACTGGTGGCGATGGGAGCACCCGCACAGAGGCCGAGCGGGGTCCTGAAGCCCGGCTGCGTCTGGCTGCGGGCCCGGGGCCTCCTGCTGAGGCCCAGCGCGCTCTGGGCATGAAGGCTGGGGTGCTGTGGGGGTCCGCCTCTTCCCCTCTCGGGGGGCGAGGAAACCGGGCTCCCGCCTGCCCTGCTAGGCACGGCCTGGGAGGAGAGGCTGGCCCTGAGGCCCCTGGGGCGCAGCCTGCCCCTCCCCCACCCCCTCTGGCAGAGGCTGAAGGGGGGCTTGGCTTCGCCTTTTCTCTCTCGTTTTGACCCCGGAGGTAAACCCTGCCTCTCTGTTCAAACCCAGTTTGATAACTTTTTCAGAGGCTTTAATTTCCTTTTTTTTTTTTTTTTTTTTTGAGTCATTTTCTAACCTAAAATGCAAGTCAACTCAACAGTTACCCAGAACCTCTGTTACTGGGCTGGGCACGGGGGATACAGAAATAATGTTGCATTGGATGGTGGCTGTGTGTTTACATGCTTACGTGTAACCTTAGGAAAACGTATGGAGATGGCCCAGAAGAGGCCCTGAGGACCCTTCTGCCGGGGGTTTAGGGGTCTGCCGCTCTCAAGGGAGCCTAAATTTAGCAGTGATTGGTAGCAGAACGATGGCTGATTTACAGTCTACATTTTCTGATTATTTTCCCTCTTAAACATGAACCAGGTATATAATCAACACTGATACCTGTATATGCATCTATACGCATGCATGTACTTAAGAGTTTTCAGTAAAGAACGGTTTCCTGTCGACAGGCCGGGCACAGCGTTGCGTAGGGAACCAAGGCTGCCTGGGGCCTGCGCGTCAGGGTGCGCCCCGCTGCGTTTTGGAAGAGGGGGAAGAGCCGGGGACCTGCGGTAGCCACGCCCCCAGGGGAAGCCCAGGGCTCGACAGAGCCTGAGGACAGTCCCGGGTGGGCAGGGAGCGGGGCACTGGCAGGCGCTGGCTCGGCCTGCAGGTGGCGCTCTGCCCCGCCCCAGGCTACGCTGCTTGTGGTATTTAGTGCCAAATACTGGTGTGTCGCTGTATGTTTTCTTAATTATCCCTTCTACAAACGTGACAGTTTGCAGTTGCTGCCAACGTTCATCCTGGGGCTTTGTCCCAGACCCTTGTCCTACAGGTTGCTTGTCGCTGGACGTGCTGCTGCGTGCGACTCCGCCTCATAAAGCGTGGCCACGCGGTCCAGGCTGCTCTGTGCCGCGCGTGGGGAGGCTCCGTCCCCTCCCTCAAGGCCACCTACGGGGGGAAGGCAGACACGTGCCACGGTCTGTTTCGTCTGTGGCACGAATGCCTATGTCGTGAGTTTCCTCCAATCGGGGGCGGTTACTTTGGCAACAGCCGTTTTATCTCCCTTTAAATACCATCCTGCTGGTTGGCCGTGGTTAAGTTTCACAAGACGAAGGTGTCCCGCGGGGGCTCCTGAAAGCCGCTCAGTCCTTTGTTGCTCGTTATTTAAGAAACACGTGAACAGAGATCCTAGTGTTCCCATCACCTAAAAATGCATTGCCGAGCGGACAGTGCGCGCCAGCCAGCGGCTGCGAGTTAAGTGAGGACGCACTTGATTTTCACGTGACCCTGGATGGAGAAGGTCGGCCCTGGGATCTGTTACAACGAGCCCATTCGTCATTGCTGGTCTCAGGCTGGCTCTGCAAAGGGAGGAATTGGGGCACCTCCTCCTCTGGTGTCCCAAGGGGAGCCCCTGCCGTCCGGGCCGCAAGGGCCGCAGCTGAGCTGAGCGCCAGCCCTGCGCCGGGTGCAGCCGGCGGCCTTCGCAGCCGCACTGGCGCTGGAAATGCAAGGAGTGGCTTTTAGGCGGGATGGAAAGGCCTGCTGAGGGGGCCCTAAAACACAGTACGTTTTACTTTAGCAGTAGAAAGATGCCTGCCAAGACGAGCTTTTTGCTGTTTCATGGGTTATAATGTGAAAAGATGCCCTGTGTGGCTCCAGAGGAAGTGCTGTCGAGCAGTGTGCAGATTTATTCCTCCTGCGTGTCGCATCCTCAGGTGTCCTCGGCCGAGGAGCGTGTCCTCCAGGCGCTCAGAGGCCGTCCTCGCCGGCGCTCAGCGGGGCGCTCTGCTGGGTGAGCACGTCCCTGCTGCAGCGCGGCCCGTTCCATCATGGAGGAGTCAGGTCCGGTCATTAAACCCCGTCTCAGCCACGCCTTTTTCGGCAGTTTATTTACGTTCTACGCAAAATGGAATCCGTGAGGGACAGAGGATTAACATGCTGTGCAATGCAATTGCAGTGAAATAAATTCAACAGCTGTTTCTGTAAGAAGAGCGCAGAGGCTTCCCCGACTTGCCTCGGCTTCCGCGTCTCCCTGCAACGTCTTCCCTTGACGGCTCCCATCCTTTGTAACTCGGCGCGGCCCTCTATTTTCGGCATCAGTAGGCTGGCTGCTTTTGTAAATCATTTTATGTGAGCCCGTATGGTCTTCCACCGATTCATGCACACACATTAAAATACTTAAAAAATGAGATACCTATAGAAGGTTACAAAAATGTACATATAAATATATACGCACATGTGTAATACACATTTATGTATGTTTAACATTCTGTATTCTGATGTGTATCTTGACCGACCGATTTTGGTACACCTTCTACAGCGTCTCAGGTCCCTGGGCACTGTGATCTCATCGCTCGCAGCCGGCAATTCACATGTCCTGCTACTCTGACGCTGGCAGGGGTTGGAAAATCGGAATCCAAACACCCAGGGAGGGCTGCTGCTGACATGGCTGCTGAGGTCGTGTGTCCGTCCCCCCCCCCCCCCTCTGGCTGCCCAACTTCCTAACACGTTGCCTCCAAGTGGGGGTAGGTTCTGCTGTTTGTGGTAAATTCTTACAGGGCTTTTCCAGAAAGCTCGTGGGAAAAGGACTTCTTCCAGGTGCTCAAGGGCCACGCTTCCCACGGGAAACTTCGGTTTATCAGTTGGTTTTGGTTTTGTCCCTGGGAATATTTAAAATAACGTTTCTTCCAGTTACAAACTCCTTTTACTGAAAGATTTTTTTTTTTTTTTTTGGTCACAATT